TAACTTACCCATAAAATGTAAGGCGAAGGAAACCAATCCGTTGTCCAAGTTTAAGCAGTTCTCCCTGTCTAATAGCAGCACCTGTGAGCAGCACAATTCCCACCTTTTTAAGGGTGACCAACCACTTGTATGCACTTTCATCACAGTATAAAACCTCATCAAAGGTCATAGTTGGGAGCTGTAGATCAGAACCCCAGTACTGGCGTTCTGCAAAAATTAAACAGCAAACAAACAAATAAAATGTGCATAAAGCCAAGAAATTATTTATTTCAATATTAAGAAGCAAAATCAATCCATGGATTTATTGAACAAAATATATTTGATAAAAGAAACTGGAAAATTGATTTCATCAAGAGAATATATACTACACCTAATTCTGCTAGCAGTGTCTGCCTTATACTAATGAACATGATGCCTTTTATATATTTTATAGCCCATGTTTAAGGTATGATGTAATATTGACCTCAGTCTAAAATGTTTACAGAGAATGGATTCCCCCCAGCATCTGTAGGCCTCAGGCTCTTAAAATATTTTATTCTCCTTCCTCCTTATTATGGTCTACTTCACATACTGTTTTCCATATCAATTTGTCCTCTATACAAATTCAGCACACAACAGACAATTCAAGGGCATGTTCTCGGGTGGACACATAGGCTTGGATCAAGACAAGTAACCAGACTAGAGGTTCATTGGATGCAACAATTAACATCTGCAGAGCATGACTTTCTTACCTCCTCGTGCAGCAGCCTGAAAGGCTCCTGAAATCCTGTTCCTGGGTGACATGGGACATGGGGACCCCCAGGGACAGGACTGACGAGGGCATTTGGGGCTGCTGTAGGGAGGAATAGGTTGCAAAATCACAGTTCACAAGTGAAAATCCCTGTGCCTGCAGAAATGCTAGTTTGGATCCAAGCCATCGTTTTTGTAGGGTACCAATTGGATCTGTTTGGATCTATTGTTGACTTGTATGAACTGAGAACACGGATCAGAACACACCCAATACTGCTCTGCATCTTCACATTATAGTAGAAGAGTGGTAGTGCAGTGGAAAAGTTGACTTTCACTTGGATCTTGTCTGCCATTTCTGATCTAATTTAGGAATCCAAGGAATCAAAGGATTTACTAAAATGCCATATGAAAAAACGCCATGGCATCAGCTCCTATTGTCCACCAAGCATGCTATGAAAGGGCAGTTGTACAGTGTTTTCCAACTACACAGCAAAGCTTCAGTAGTTTACCACCAGAGCATATACAAAGCTGAACAACTGAATTCCAAAAGAAAATTCTCTTGTACTGGTGTGGTAGCATTTTGTCAGCATCTCATGAAATAATGCATCTGCTCTGTTTCTGATGGTTCACAAAAGGTAGTAACATCTGCCAAAATGGAAAAAAAAATGTCCATTATTAATGTATAGGGAGGACAAGTTTCAAAAGTAACACTTGGGAACCTTACCAAGAAAGAACTTTGCTCTTTTAAAATGTGTATATAATGCTGCCTATTGTGTAAACAGATATAATCTTTTAAACCAAATCTACAAGGCCAATTTGAGTCTTGTGTTACAAAACTAACCAAAGGCAGACTGATCTAGTGTATTAATCTAGCTGTAGATTTCCTTCTTTACTCACAGGGCACACCATTCCGGCCCTAATATAGAATCTCTTCTTCTCTACATAATGATGTGCCAGCACAAATCCATTTATGGACCTTATTGCTCCAGCAACTTATGTAATGATACACATTCTTTCTGGAATAACAAACTAGGTTCTAGAAAACTCACAAATTCTAGAATAAAAAGAGTGTTTATTGTAACTATATACAATAAAACAGTAATTGTGAAATAGATGAGTTGTCACAGGCCCAACAGAAGTCAGGAACAATGGTTTGTCCCAGAAACTCTGGGCCCCAGCAGCTTCTCCATCTCAGGGTATGCTGATGACAGGCCTGAGTATGCCCCCAATATAACATGACTTCATGGGAGCTTTTTTCTTCTTCTTCTACATTTTAGGAAGCAATCTATGACAACTATGAACAGCTAAAGAACTTTGCCAAGTTGTTGTTCATGTGTCCTGTTTGGTATAAAGCGGTTGATGGAGATGAAGTCCAGTTTTAGTATGAAAAGAGATACATGGATAAAGGGAGGTGAACTCTCCCTGCTCTTTCTCCTTGTGACCAAGATTTCCATCTTCCATAACTGGATTGGCACTTGTCTCATGTACTCCAGTTACAGAACTTTGAGATTGTTTCTGCATTGGCAGCAAGAGGTAATATTTCTAGTTTTGGAGACACTAAAGTCCCCCCCCCCAAAAAAAAATGAGATGGCATTGTATGTGGTTCCATTGAATCTGATTTGGTAAGTATAGCCGTATGTACTTGTTAAGATAAAGGTAAAGGTTCCCTTGCTCGAAAGCCAGTCGAATCCTACTCTAGGGTTGCGGTGCTCATCTCCGTTTCAAAGCCAAAGAGCCAGCGCTGTCCGAAGATGTTTCCGTGGTCATGTGACCGGCATGACTAAACACCAAGGCGCACGGAACACTGTTACCTTCCTACCGAAGCAGTACCTATTTATCTACTTGCAATTTCTTGCTTTTGAACTGCTAGGTTGGCAGGAGCTGGAACGAGAGACGGGAGCTCACTCCGTCATGCGGCACCCTGGGTCTCGAACTGCTGAACTACTGACCTTCCACAGCCTGCAGTTCAGCATCTTAACCACTTGAGCCACCACAGCTTGTTGCACACTGAAAAAAGCTCACAAATACTGCAACAGAAATCAAGCAAAGTGCATGGCTACACATTACGTGTGTGTACGTGCACGCACACACGTGCTGTCAAATCGCAGCTGACTTACAGCGACCCTGTAGGGTTTTCAAGGCAAGAGACATTCAGAGGTAGTTTGCCATTGCTTGCCTACACATCACAACCCTGGTGTTTCTCAGAGGTCTCTTATTCAAACACTAGCCAGGGCTGACTGCTTAGCTTCCGAGATCTGACAAGATAGGGCTAGTCTGGGCTAACCAGGTCAGGGGCACACATTACGTAGCACATAGATACACGCTGGGGCTCGAGCCCACAAGTGGCATAGGCAGAAGGGTTCTGGAGCACTATTGAACAGAAGCACTGTGACTCAGGGACTGTCTAGACATAGAGACAAGCTTGTACATGGGGCTGCAGTCTGCTCCTCAGCTTAGGAAAGTAAGCAGCAACTCACAGTAAGGCACAGGAGGGCATATGAAATATATATATACGAGTGTCTCTGTTGAACATCTTGGACTTGAAGTGAGACACTTGTCAAAAATTAGCACTTATGGAACCTCAATAGGTTATAGGAAAATAGAGGTTTAGTCAACACAAACTGGATTTGAATTGTTAAATAAGAAAAGTTAATTTTTGAAAGAATGATGGAATATTAATTTGTGTTGCAGAGAAAATAAGTGTGATATAAGATATGGAAGTATTTGTACTTGCTGATAATTGTGTTTAAGTGTACAATATAGGCTCATAAAACCTAATAAAATAATTATTAAAAAAAAAAGACTGGCTGCCACTGACCTAGACATACCATGCATATAAAGAAAATAAATATTTACTAAACCACGTTTTTGCTTCAAGTGCACACTCACCTATTCAGCACACAGAAAATGGCTTATCAGGAAGTATGTAAGAGAAGCTTATTCTCAACCAAAGCTAATTGGCAAATGCAATGAATTAGTCGATGCAGTCTCTAGCCAACTTTGTCTTTTATGTAACCGAGAATCTGAGCCACTGTTTTTGCAACTGCCGATACATATCATTTGAACTCAGAAGCAGTTCCACACAAAGGATGACTGTGGTTATAAACAATTAAAAGATCTATTAGGTATGTACAAGTGGGAGTCCACAAGGACTTGCAGGAGGTATCTCATTTCCTCCTCCCCCACTATGTCCTCTTTCTCTTTATTGAAAGCTGTTATAGCCTCTCCATTTTCCATGCTTCCTTCTCTCCTTCTAGAGTTGCCAAACTGGAGATCCCTTAGAATTATGATGGGTTTTCCAGCTACAGAGATCAGTTCCCCTTTAGGTTGCCAGCTCTAAGTTGGGAAACTCCTGGAAATTTGGGCAACCCGCTCTCCTTCCTATCCAACAGCCAACCTACTCTTATCTGCTCCTCTGTCTTAAGCTCCCCATCAGCAGCCTCTACCTAGGAAAACTGTGGCCCAGTTGTGTGGTGCCAGGCCCACTTGCATGATAGGGAACCCTTACGGACTTGTGGGAGGGATGCTTCACTTTCCCTGTATCCCCCTCCACACACTATTTCCCCCTTTTCTCCCTTGGTATATCCTCTCCCTGTTCCTAGCCTCATTCTCTCCTTCTCAGCCAACCTACCTTTTATTTGCCTCCCATCTTCAGCTATATTTATTCTTTCTTTACTTCATTTATACCTCATCTTATTCCACAGTGTGGACCAGAGCAGCTTACATTATTCTCCTCTACTCCTTTTTATCCATGCAACAACTCAGTTGGGTAGGTTGTTTGAAAGTATTTGACTGGTCCAAAATCACCCAGTGAGCTTCCACAGAAAGATGGCGATTCAAACCTGGGTCTCACAGAACCTACTCTGAAGCTCTAACCACTACACCACACTGTGTTTCATAGGATTGCTGCTGTTGAACAGTAGCAAGCAGCCAGGCCTAGATGAGTCATGCAAGTCGGGTGATATCAAGCCAGCCAATGGTTGCTGCCTGACCTAAGGTTGCCAACCTCCAACCTGGAGATCTCCCAGAATTACAAATGAATTCCAGATGACAGAGGTATGTCCCCCTGGAGGAAATGGTTGGTTTGGAAGATTACTCTATGGCATTATATCTGGTTGAGGCCTCTCCCCTCCTCAACCCCTGCCCTCCTCAGCCTCCATCCCAAAATCTCCAGAAACTTCCCGATCTGGGACTGGCAACCCTAGTTAGACTTGTCCCTAATGAGTCCTCCCTCAAATGGCAAAATAGGCCTAGAAAGGACCCTGCCCCCTCCCTGTCTTTTACTCAGAGAAACCCAGCATGGAATACTGTGGTTGCTTTAGGGTTGCCAGCTCTAAGTCCCAGCGGGGGATCCCCTGGTTTTGGGGGATTCTCCGTTCTGTGGACCACCTGGCTGGTGGGGGAAACCCCACCCCTAAACAGGGACATCATCATGTGATGTCGCTGATGCAATGATGTCACTCACAAGTGACATCATT